AACGACGAACTCATCGGGCCGCCCGACAGCATGCCAAGGCGCCCGCCCATCCTGAGAACGACAGACTCATCGGGCCGCTCAACAGCATGCCCGGGCGGCCGCTCTCCTGAGCGGAGGCCGGACCTGCGCTGCCCGAGCAGTCTGTCGTTCTCAGGACGGACGTCTGTCTGATACCGACCTGACCTAGGATGCCTGACACCGGCTGCATGATACCGACTGCCTGATACCGACCTGACATCGGATGCCTGACACCCACCTGACATCGGATGCCTGACCCCAATCTGACACCAGATGCCTGACACCAACCTGACATCAGATGCCTGACAACGGCTGCATGATACCGAATGCCTGACACCGACCTGACATCGGATGCCTGACCACAACCTGACACCAGACGCCTGACGCCGACCTGTCATCAGATGCCCGGCACCAGCCTGACACTAAAAGCTGACCTCCCTCGCGCGGAACAGGGAGTCAATCACTCAGCCAAGAGGCCACCGTGACGACGCCGCGAACAGTTCATTTCCATACATAGAAGAATCGTTATCTAATTGGCGCCGGATGCTGCTGAGGCGCACAGCTCCAACTCGTAGAAATGCCATTTATAGTTAAAACAGCAGCTGCGAAATGAATTATACAAAAATATGTAGTGAGGCAGGGTCTTGCTTTGGACACCTTTGTTCGCAGGTACAGGGTCGCCCACACTAGAACATATGCAGAACAATGTTTCGTCTGATATTCATGTGATCAGTACACCTGAGAATCTGATAAATTTCGTCATGGCGCATGTTTATCAAGGGCAGCTCTGCCGCGAGACAACAGGCCCAGCAGAAGAAACAGGCAGGGTTCTGGGGTGACTGCACGTCTTCAGGCGCCGGAGGCTGCCGGGACCTGATGAGGCGCCATCAATGTATGGCTAAACGGTGCAGGTCGCCCTTTATCGGGGCAGACTCAGAATGACGCGACAAGGCCGCCAATTCAGAATGCACGTCTGCAGCGACTGGCGCCGCGTACTGCCACCGGAGCGCCTGACGTAACGTTGAGCTCGCACCCAGCGGCGCAAACTCAAAATCTCTGGCGCTTAGCTGTCTCTTTTTTGTTTGCTTGAGTTGAAAACCAGTTGTGAGCCTCCAGGAAAAGGTAAAAGGGTCTTCGTAATTCCTTCCACATGCACCACCATACACTCAAAGTAAAGCCTTCCAGCATGAGACAGGAGAAGACTGAGCCGGCAGCCGGCACGCCTGCACGCCCGCTCCTGGCGCGGTGTTCGTCCCATGGTCCAGCGCTCGCTCCTGGCGCGGTGTTCGTCCAATGGCCCAGCTCTTACTCCCGGCGCGGTGTTCGTCCCCATGGTCCAGCTCTCACTCCCAGCGCGGTGTTCGCCCCATGGCCCAGCTCTCACTCCCAGCGCGGTGTTCGTCCCATAGCCCAGCGCCCACTCCCGGCGCGGTGTTCGTCCCATGCCCCAGCTCTCATTCCTGGTGCGGTGTTCGCCCCATAGGCCAGCTCTCACCCCTAGCGCGGTGTTCGCCCCATGGCCCAGCTCTCACTCCTGGCACGGTGTTCGTCCCATAGCCCAGCGCCCACTCCCGGCGGGGTGTTCGCCCCATGGCCCAGCTCTCCCTCCCGACGGGGTGTTCGCCCCATGGCCCAGCGCCCACTCCCGGCGCGGTGTTCGTCTCATGGCCAGGCGCGGCCGTGTGTGGTCGCCGGCCCTGGCTCCTCACCCGGTCTGCCTCTGCAGACAGTGACGGCACGCTGCGGGCCGGCCCCTGCAGAGTATCTGACTCCGATCACCGCCACACCGGCGTCCCGGGGACACGCTCTCACTGCGCCTGGCCGCCAGAAGGCGCGTGCGCTCCGGCGGAGGCGCGGCCCACTCGGGGAAGTCGACAGATCACGAGGCATCGGCGATGGGTGCTCCCAGCAAGGCATCGCGAGTTACGTAAACTAAAAATGTCTTCTGGTACACGTGAAACCTGCCAGGCAGCGAATGTATAGGCCGCAACACGAAACGCAGCGCGTTTACGATGCCCAGTGTGGAAAGTGGGAGTTGGAAGGTAAATGACACACTGACGCAGGTGCAATCATTTTGGAGTCATAGCGGTTAGTCAGCCAACAAAAGGTTCTTGAGTTGTCGAAAGATTGCACAACACCGCGTCTTTCAACGCCTATGCTGGGCCTATCTGCAGTGTGCAACGTTATTCTCATCCGCAGCAACGGACGAACGCGGCCAAAAAAACGAGACGACCTTCTAGGAACCGGTCACGCACTCCGGAACGACAGGCGTAATAACCAACGGGCCAGTGACTGCCCCTCCCCCATCAGCGGTACTCCACCGCGCCCCAGACGGTGAGCGGAGTGGGAGGAGGAGGGGGGGGGGGGGGAGGTTGCTTGGTCACCTCAGGCTGGCTGGTCCTGACACCGCCAGGTTAAGCCGGGTGGTGACGACATCGGCGCTCAGAGTTGGTCATCGGTCTTCCCCGAACACGGCGCGGAGGGCGCAGGTCCGTTGCACGGGCTGGCTACCAGCGATCCGACCCTGCCCCCCCCCCACACCGATTTCCGGCCGGATGACGCAGCGCTACACCGACTCAACTACGCAAACACAAGGACAATAGGTCCGACGTGGAGATCACAGGTCAACGCCACCGCCGCGATCCTCCAAGCGGTACAGCGAGCGTGTGATGGGGGGGGGGGGGGGGTGCGGCTGTCAACAGTCTCCGACCTGACCAAACGAGAAGCTCGCCGCTCCAAGGTTATCCGGCTGCTCATGGATCAAAAATGACGTCAGGAGCCGATTATGGGCAAAAAGAACTTCTGAGTTCTAAGCTGAGAACTTCCAAAGCCTTTCTCAGCAGAGGAGTTGCAAGACCAGCACCGCTCGTCGGTGCTAAGCGAGCCGCCGACGATGGCGTGTCGGGCGAGGTTCCCGGGAAAGCTCACCTCCGCATCTGTTTGTTATTTTGACGACGCCTAGCAACAGTAGCATTGCAACGAGAAATATAAACCAGTGCCATGTTATCATTGTTACCATGGGGCTTTACGACGCACCAAGCTGCTGAGGCTGCATGGCGTCGCCTGCCTTTCGCCCTGCCAGGAAGGGTGGGCATCGCGGTTAATCAAACCCCATGGCTCTGGTTTCCCAGACGCGCAGTACTATGTTTGACGCACGTAAAAGCCGCTGACAGTCGCTACTGAGCCGCGCCCGTTGTGCTACCCGGACTTGCGCTGGAATGCTCGACAGCAAACGGCAACTGAAATATCGCTCGAGCTGCTGTTTGCGCAACACTTTCCTTGTGGGGATGCCTCCACATCTGTTGGCTTATGTCCTCGGGTAGCGTTACATGCCTTCGAGTTAATCCGCAACCTGTCAGTCAGCACCTAAAAAATTACATACGACATGACTCTCAGCGCTGCCGAAATGCCGTCATAGAGTGAGCTCCCTGACCTGAGTGCTCCTACGTGTCTGAGGAGAGACACCTCGCCGCTGACAGTTCAACATTGCGGTGTACAATGCACGGGGCATTGGAGCACAAGGTCATTTCCCTGCATTACCAGCCAGAAGTGCAGTGATGCTAATCGTGACAAGCTTGAGCCACAGGCAATTACATTTCATAATTCGGGCTTAAGACCTTAAAAAAACGGCTCCCTGCGCCCAGCGCTAACGGCGTAAGAAGCCCTCACCCCTGACAGTACTAAAAAACCTAACGCAGCAGCAGCAAAGGTCTCTCAGACGGTGCATGACAAGGTAAAACCGCAGCTTCATGGTTCCTGTCTAGTCTACCTCTCCTTCCGCCTTTTCCAGCTATGCTCTGATGTGGTCTGATCACTCTCCATCCAATTTCTTTTGTAGTCCAGACACATGTAATCAGATTTAGACTGTCTCTCATTTTTCTCTGGTTTCACCCATGTACGCTCAGTCCACCAAAGCCGCGGCTCCCTCATTCCTGCGCCGGTCTCTACCCGCCCCTACCCACGCGCTGCCCACCCCTGCCCGACCCTTGCCCGCGCCTTGCCGGCGCCCCTGTCCGCCGCGCCAGCGCCGCCCATGGCGGTCTCGCGGCGCGAGCTCCGCTCGGGCGGCCGGGATTAATGATGAAACGGCCGGCGGACGGGCGCAGCGAAAGCCGCTCAGACGGCGGCCTGTTACCAGCTAGCCTTGGCCGGCCGGTCCGCGGCGGCGGCCGCCCCGCCGCTGAAGCCGGGCCTCGCCGGTGTTGAAGTCCGCAGCAGCTGGCCCCCGAAAAACGCGCCGCCGCCCACTCTCACGGCCGGCCGACGCCTTCTGGCGATTTGCGTTCGGTGGAAATGTGGTTTTGTCTTTTTCGCGACGTGCGGCGTTCCCACACACGTGCAGGTGAGCGCCATCATGACTTGCACGAGCTCCGATGGGACAACAAACCGGTGTTTGTCGACTCCGCGGCATGTGCACCGAGCCGTTACTCCCCCGTCATAAACCGCACGGAGTCTAGCGGCCTTCCCTGACAAGCGGGGCATGGATGCTTCCTGCTCCGAATACGCGCCAAATATGCGTCATTAGTGTAGCCACGGGCTGGGAGCGGCGGAGAAGTAATCACGGTCAGGTCGTGGGGGGGGGGGGGGCGACCTTGGCAGCCGGCATACCGAGCCGTGACGCGCCAGCGGAGCAGAACAATACGGCGTCGCTGTCCGCGTCACGACGAGAGCTTACGCCAAAGGCGTGCGACAGCCTAATGCCGCAGCGAGGAACTGTCAAACAAATCCGGATGCCGGCCGGTTTCAGTTGAACATCTCACCGACGTCTCCACCGCATGCGAATGTATCTCGCTGGACGATATATATTTCAAGGGAAATCTCGAGGATTTCGTGTCGCCTAGCTCGTTTTCTTCGGTCTTTGAGAGGCGCGCGGCAACCATCTCTCTCCAGGTGGCGATGTCAATGAGCAGCAGAACGCATCGGGAGCCCTCAGCCACCCACCGACCCGAGGGGCGCCGGCTGGCGCCGGGCGTTACACTCACCGATGTTCTTGTTGCAGTAGTCAACGCTCTTGTCCCGCTTTAGCTGGGACGTCATGAAGAGCGTGGTGCCCTTGGCGATGACGCCGCAGGTCAGCACGACGCCGAAGGTGACGATGTAGACGATCACCTTGACGATCTTGACGGTGATCTCGAGGCAGCGCTGGTTCGCCTCCGAGCCGGAGTCGTTGTCCGGCGGCAGCACGCGGAACACGTCCCATTTCTTCGTCTCGGGAACGATGCTACGCCGACTGTCGGCAGGGCGGGACAAGCGTCAGAGGCCGTCCGGGGCAGCGCCGGGTACGGGCGCTCTCCGCAAGCGGCGGTGTCACCAGCGCGAGACAGAGGCACTGGGAGGCGCTGACACCCGATCCTGCGTCGCCTCGCCGGCCGCAATAATGGTTTCATTGTTTCAACAGTTCTATCCGTAAATAGTCGGTTTATTTCAGTGACACCGTCCCTCGAGTTAGTCTGCACCACGGCCAGATGTTCTGAGAATCTTTTCCTTTCACTACCATTTCATTTCTCAGTTCATTTGCTTTGCGCCTCGTGATCTATTAAATCTAATCCCAACTACTTTTACCCGTTTTGTAAGGCTAGTTTCAAATGCCTTGTAAGACATTCGCTTTTACGGGACTTTCGGGTTCTGCGCCATTCTAACGATCCGTTGTTTCGTGGCCACGCCGTGAATGTGTATTACAGCCCTCATTACGCGCCGACTGCCGGCAGCTAAGCGCCGGAGGTCATTATCTTCGGCAGATCCGCCAGATCCGGCCAGTCGGTACCAGCGGGACTCGGGACGGAGGTCACGTGAGATGCCAGCCCCGGTAAGCCCTTCCCGGCGCTCCCGCGGCGGCGGCGGCCACAAGGACACACGGCCAGCCAGAGGCAATACGGCACGAAAACTGCAGCCAAACTGCATGGTATCTGAGCGCTTATCTAGTCATTCTGCCTTAGAACCCCAAACCAGAGGTCCCCAGCACAGATCTCCAGCGAGTCGTTAAGGAATGCACACGGCGGATCCTGGATGCAGCATCACATCAGCAGACAACTGGATCAGCACGGCACCAGAGCTGTACTTTTCCAGAAGCCCTGCAGCCTTGTGCATGGCACCCGTGCACAAGCAGACAAGGGGGATCCGTGGGGAAAATTAATCGCAGCGGATGCGAGATGGGGGCAGATGGAGAAGGATGGTTTCCAAGGTCGTCGGCTGTGACGTCGGTGAAGTGGCGGTCGAAGCGCAGAAGATACCCGTCGGCCTTGGGTGATGGCCACTTCGCCCCACGCCGCGCCCGCACGTCGGCCCGGAGACGGACGAACCGTTACTGAGACGGGGAGGTCAGAGAGAACCACACACAGCGAGAAAGAGAGAAAGAGAGAGCGAGAGAGAGAGGGAGAGAGAGAGAGAGAGAGAGAAAAAAAAAGAAAGAAAGAGAAAGACAGGAGGGGGACAGGGAGGAAGAGAAAGAGAGAGGGCGAGAGTGATCGGGGTTCAGGGTTCACAGAGGGTATTGAAGAGGGACACCGGAGGACGCGTGCCCCACTCTCCCTTGCCAATTAGCTATACTTATTATTTTCGTCGGCATTTGAACAAATGTCGACGCTAGAGAGGTCAAGTAAGAGTCGCAAAATAAATACATGGAAACCATATGATATTATCATTCTGTCCTACGCCAGGGAAGATATTTTGCGCTCCGTCACGTGTTGAAATACGATGTTCAGTGACTTTTTACCCGCACCCCCAATTGAAAAATCATTTATACGCCCAAGGGGCTCATGACTGTCTGGACACGAAGTCTATGACTCACTGAGGTCACGCGGACTCAAATTTCTCTGACTGCGCCGCTGACGTCACCGGCCAGAGCATGTGGCTTGACCAGACCAGATCAGACCAGACCAGACCTCACCACCACAGCAGCCGCGGCTTCGGAACGTAACGGGTGACCGGCGGCCGACTCGAAGGACATTCAACCAAAAAATCACACCAGTCCGACAAACGCATATCAAGCGGCGAGGAAATTTCCCACAGTTCGTGGACAGTGCATGACAAAGTATGAGTTCGTCCATATGCCAGAGCCACCCGTGCTTTGCACGCGAGCGCAGCACCCCGATGGGGCAACGCCCACAAGGCTGCTCACAGACAGACACCACTGCCAGTCACACAAGTCCAGGCGATATTGCACCGTTCTGAGTCGGCGGCTGCGCGAGTCCTGCCGCACCGGCAGGCAGCGGCGGCGGCCGCCTGCCGCCTGCCGGGCCCTGTCCATCTTCGCCGCTGCTCCGATCAGCCGGCGGCGGCGGCCGGGGCGCCACCACTTGCCCGCCGGCTGGGGCCGGGCCGGCCCTCCGACGCCGGCACCGGCTCCGCCTTGCGACAGCGGCCGCCCGTTCAGGTCACATGACCTCCGAGCGCTGGGACGCCGGGGAAACGCGGCGTTTTTGCTCGGAGGCCTGCCCTGTGTCCCAACAGGCAGGTCGGACCGCGCCGATCAGATCGGACCGAAGGAAGGGTCACCGCCTGCAAATGTGCCGTGGTCGGCTCCATTTATGGGAGCGTCCGGGTGTGCTAGACGCCAGTCCGATGATATCACGCGAAATCTCGACGGATTCAATGCTTCGTGTTATGCTGTTTGTCGACCCCTGTCGCGCGTCGAAATTACACAGCGCTACGATCGTGCACGTGACACAGGTAAGGGTCACTATTACGTTGATGTGTGTATGGTGATCCCCGACGACGTCACACCGCTGACACCACGACTTTCCCGCAAGTTGCCCGATGGAAAACATACTGCAATGGAAATCGCATGCACACGCTTTCTTTACATCTTGGTGTAAATGTGTACAATGTGTACACATGTATACTTGTACATCTTGGTGTTGGTGTCCAGCGAGATCTGGACACTTTCCAGCAAGGCCGGGCAAATGAGATGCGTTATTGGGTCTCGTGTTGTGACGTCATACCAGGCCGCCAGTCACGGGAATGTCCAAGCCAAGTGATGTTGGGACGCATCACTGCCCGCACGGCCGCACTGAGTTCAATACGCCTTTGGTGACTCTGGCCACTGCAGATTCGTTTAAGCCGACGACCCAGCCAACTGATGTGAACGGCAGCTTTTCTTCCCAAAGATCAGCAGTAAAACGCCTCGCACAATCTTAAGATGGCAGATTACAGGCTACGACGGCAGCAATTTTTCTTTGCCAGCTAAAAATCCACAAACTCTGGGAATGAATCACCGCATCGTGCAAAATGCCGCACGATATTTTAAGCCATTTTGAAGATAACCAAATGCAGTACGGCTAGCAGATCTCTAGGGTCCAGGTCCAGACGCCGCGTCCGAGTTCCCGCAACTGTGCCGCACACTCAGCTCGACAGCCAATCTACTGTCGGGGCGCTTCCACCGACCAGCGAGCCTGCTGTCGAGGCACCTCCATTGACCAGCGAGCCCGATGTCGAGGCACCTCCACCGACCAGCGAGCCTGCTGTCGGGGCACTTCCACCGACCAGCGAGCCTGCTGTCGAGGCACCTCCACCGACCAGCGAGCCTACTGTCGGGGCACCTCCACTGACCAGCGGGCCTGCTGCCGGGGCACCTCCACTGACCAGCCGGCCTGCTGTCGGGGCACCTTCACTGACCAGCGAGCCTGCTGTCGGGGCACTTCCACCGACCAGCGAGCCTGCTGTCGAGGCACCTCCACCGACCAGCGAGCCTACTGTCGAGGCACTTCCACTGACCAGAGGACCTGCTGTCGGGGCACCTCCACTGACCAACCGGTCCACTGTCGGGGCACCTCCACTGACCAACCGGTCTGCTGTCGGGGCACCTCCACTGACCAGAGGGCCTGCTGTCGCGGCACCTCCACTGACCAGCCGGCCTACTGTCGGGGCACCTTCACTGACCAACCGACCTGCTGTAGGGGCACCTCCACTGACCAACCGGCCCGCTGTCGGGGCACCTCTACTGACCAACCGGTCCACTGTCGGGACACCTCCACTGACCAGAGGGCCTGCTGTCGGGGCACCTCTACTGACCAACCGGCCTGCTGTCGGGGCACCTCTACTGACCAACCGGCCTGCTGTCGGGGCACCTCTACTGACCAACCGGCGTACTGTCGGGGCACCTCCACTGACCAGCGGGCCTGCTGCCGGGGCACCTCCACTGACCAGCGGGCCTGCTGTCGGAGCACCTCCACTGACTAGAGGGCCTGCTGTCGGGGCACCTCCACTGACCAGAGGACCTGCTGCCGGGGCACCTCCACTGACCAGCGGGCCTGCTGCCGGGGCACCTCCACTGACCAGCGGGCCTGCTGTCGGGGTACCTCCACTGACCAGCGGGTCTGCTGTCGGGGCACCTCCATTGACCAGCCGGCCTGCTGTCGGAGCACCTCCACTGACTAGAGGGCCTGCTGTCGGGGCACCTCTACTGACCAGCCGGCCTGCTGTCGGGGCACCTCTACTGACCAGCCGGCCTGCTGTCGGGGCACCTCCACTGACCAACCGGCCTGCTGTCGGGGCACCTCTACTGACCAACCGGCCTGCTGTCGGGGCACCTCTACTGACCAACCGGCGTACTGTCGGGGCACCTCCACTGACCAGCGGGCCTGCTGTCGGGGCACCTCCACTGACCAGCGGGCCTGCTGCCGGGGCACCTCCACTGACCAGCGGGCCTGCTGTCGGGGCACCTCCACTGACCAGCGGGCCTGCTGTCGGGGCACCTCCACTGACCAGCCGGCATGCTGTCGGGGCACCTCCACTGACTAGAGGGCCTGCTGTCGGGGCACCTCTACTGACCAGCCGGCCTGCTGTCGGGGCACCTCTACTGACCAGCCGGCCTGCTGTCGGGGCACCTCCACTGACCAACCGGCCTGCTGTCGGGGCACCTCTGCTGACCAACCGGCCTGCTGTCTGGGCACCTCTACTGACCAACCGGCGTACTGTCGGGGCACCTCCACTGACCAGCGGGCCTGCTGTCGGGGCACCTCAACTGACCAGCCGGCCTGCTGTCGGGGCACCTCCACTGACCAACCGGCATGACCGCTCCGCAGGCGGTGCAGCTGCCACGCCGCGTCACTGACGTATCCGGCACGCGCGCCGTCACGCGTCACGCGTCACGCCGTCACGCCGCGCAAAGGGTGCCGATCGGCCGGCCGGTGCCGGCAGTGGCGGCTCCGGCGCGGCCGTGGCGGGTGGCGCGTGATTGGCACGCCCTAGATCGCGGATGCCGGCGTCAGGTGGCCGGCTGTCGTCACGCGGACAGATGTGACGCGACAAAACGGCACCGGGAGGGCCGCGAGCGCGAGTGGCAGCCGTGCGCCTGGCCCGGAAACCATGCTGCTCGGGTTCGGCGGGCGATCGGCGGGCTCGCTGGCGTCTTTGCTGGCTTACTGATGGGTGTTGTTGGACGAGGGTGCGGAGACGTTGTTTGTTTCAAATGGTATCGGACTTGTCAGACGCGGCAGAGAGTGCATTGCTGCTACAACGCAAATGTCTTTGATTTGTTTTTGAAGACAGCACAAGAATTAGCTTCAGAGCTGAACATTCGGTTGGTTGTCGTATTCAGGCACCGGGAAAAAACATTCTAACATGCTATTTAAACGTTTTAGCTTTTACAAACTCGTAAATTTCGTATTCAAGCGCCTTTATCGGGACCGTAAAACACACGTTGTCAGCTACATCGTACATACAAGCACTGCCAATTACAACGTGTATTGGGAGCAAACCAGTTCTCGGGCAAGATTTCTGTCGACTAGCAGCACAAAAATATTAATTTTTGCGTCCGAGACCTAAATAGTACAAAATAAATGCCCCGATCAGAGCAAAAGCATTGCGGACGTGCAGACGCGGGATTAGCAGCAAGCAGCCTAAATCTCGTGGTATCATTGCTTTGTGTATGTGTGTGTGTGTGTGTGTGCAAACGTTTAGGACTTAATTTTTCTTCGGTATTAATGCCCCAATTTTGCCACAAAAATACCGGCTAAGTAAGCTCGCTCTAGTATACCGCATTTAATTTGGCGTGTCTCAGCTGGGGAGATTGATACCGAGAAAAGACCAAGTCCGAAATAGACCTATCAATCATTCTTTTGTTTAATCGGATATAATCAGCATAATTTTCATATGATTTCCTTTTCATACTAACAGCCACATTGGTTCACTCAGCGAGAGCACTATTAGGCCCTTGCTGAACCCCAAGGCGCGGACTACCCCACGGTCCCAGTCTGGGTGGGTAGTCGTTCCCCACGTCCGCCCCGCGAACACATACCACGCGGACTCAGTCACCATTCAAAGGAGCCCACCCGTCACAGCCTGGCGTCGACCAGCGTCGGCGCCGGCCGCCGCAGGTGAAACCTCACCTGCCGCCATAGATGTCCTCCTGCAGCGGGGTCTTCTCGTCGGCGTCATAGTCATCGTCGGGCCCGTAGGTGCTGTTAGGGCCGGTGGCGTTGGGCGCGGCCGGCATGGCCGGGCCGCCTGCTGACCTCGCCACAGGCGACGGGCCAGCCGCACGCGACGATGCCGCCTTCTGTCGAACACAGGGCGACCATCAGGTGGACAGCACGACCGGCACAGGGCGACGCTCAGGGGACAGCACGGCCGGCACGGGAAAACTTTCAGGGGGACAGCACGGCCGGAATGCGGCATCGGTATCATTGCTGCTGCTGCTGAGCTGATGTGCATGAAGTATTCACGTTGGATGGAGGAGCGTTAATTCTGATTTCCACGAAAAGAAATTATTACTGCCGCTGGTTTCTACTCAGGGTGGCAAACAGGGATGTCGATAGTGTAGTGGCTAACGTGACTGGTCAATCAGAGGTACGGGTACCCGCTCGATTGCCGTACTCGATTGCCCGCGGAACCCGCCCTTCCTGCCAGGGTAAGAGGCGGGCGACGCCATATAACATCAGCATCTGAGTGCGTCATAAAGCCCCAATGACGGTGAGGCTGGGAAACATAACCGCCTCAGCGTAGTCAAGTTGAAGAAGATCGCCTTTCCTTCCCGATTCACATTGTGAGGACGAGCGAGTAACGGAAGAAGAGACAGCAGAGCTGCCATACGCTCAGCTACAGCGCACAGCTGCGAGCACACCCAAACTGGGCTTGCGACTGCCAGTGTAGGTCATGGCAGTACCATTCACCGCATAAGGGTGCGCAGCTGTTTGCAGTCGCGTGCTACCATGCCATATGTTCAGGGCTATCTTTTGAATTTTTTAACAGCATGGGACAGAACGATGCACGCAAAATGTGTGAAAAATTTGGCAGCTCGCACTGCGAATGAGTGAAACATTGACAATGTCTGTAGCCAAGCGGCCACTAAGCTGTGCGGAGTGAGTGTGACATCGCCTGAATCAGACCGAGCGAATCGCCGCATCCACCGCAGTACGTGATACAGCGAAGCATGCAACCTTATGCAAATAACCATATGTACCGTATGAGGCTCTTCTCAACGAGGCACTTGGTGCTTATCTGTCATGCATTCTTCGGGTGAAAAGGCAGCCGTTATCCTCGGTCATGGCCGGGCATACAGTCATAAAGCTATGGCGGCGATCTCAAGTCAAGATATACGAAAGCCGTCCGGCGATTAAGGGGAGTTCATGACGCAATCCCGCCGACTCCCCCTAGGGTGTGGCGCCGACAACAGCTGGCGTGATGCAGTGGGTCAGCTGCAGTGGCCGCGACTCACGGTCCGGCATTCCAAATGTGAGCGACCGCTCGCGAGCCCAAGCCCGCTCTGCCTTGTGCACGCACAGCTGATGTCTAGCACCTTACGTAAGGTTTCCGATGGCCAGTTCCTGCTCGACAGGTGGGCTCGGCATTCCTGCAACATCGCCAGCGTCCAGCAGTGCAGCCCTTCCCCCCTCCCACGTGTCACAGCCCCTGGAGCGCCGTCCTGTCGTCACCCGCGGCCGCTGCAGAGGCAGGAGACCTCGAGCGGAGCTCGCCAGACTGGCTGCCGCGGTGGTCGGCCACCGGCTCCGTCCCCCCCCCCCCCCCTTCCGCGACCCGCTCCGCCGCCCCGCCCTCACGGGGCCGACAAAGACGGCCGTGCTGGCAGCAGCGGGTCTCACCCCGCCTTTGTCCACCACAGGGCGTGAGGGCCGGCCGGCCGGTGGACGGACACGCGTCAGCTGCGGTTTCCGCGGGCTCGGCTCCGCAGGGCCGCGTCTCGAGGTGGTGTCGGACGCCGCGCCAGGGTCGGCGCCGGCGGCGTTGGAATGGCAGGCTCGCGGATTAGCGGCGTGTTTTCAGCTGCACTGAGAGAAATGCACTGCCTAGAAATGCTATTTGTGATCTTATGACGGTGGGAGCCCACCAGCTGGTGAGGAATGCGTGTTGGTTTTGATCCGCTGCGGGCAGCATGCCGTCTGCGATATCTGCATACACAGCATGCAAGTCTCCCAGTGCTAGCTTTGCAGCCTGCGTGCAGGTCTTTGTTGGTTTCTTGTTCGTCACTGAAGCCAATGCTTACGGCGTGCTGACTGGGCGGGAGCCGAACGACCACAAACCACCAACCCGGAACCCATGTCATGTTGATCGGGCACGTCACGCGGAAATCAAGCTTGCCTTGCCCGTGATCTGACCCGGCGTCCGGGGTAAAAACGCGCCCCACGACAGCGCAGCAAGGCTGTGCGCGAGATCAGCTCTAACGCCCTCGCACCGCATCATGAGCGACACACCCTGCTTGTCCAGTTCGAGTTATGCAAATTTTGATTTGATTTGATGTTTATTTTCGATTATGGACATTAAGCAGTACATAATATGATGAGTGGATTGGTGCATAAGAGGAACGCTTATATCTGAGCGCCTCTCCTAACAATAACAGGATATGGTCATCGCCATATCCTGCCTGGTTGGTGAAAAGCCCCAGTGCACGACCGCTAGACAAACGCGAGCGTGACGGCTGACAGCTCTCAAAAATCTGGAAGAATGTGTAAGCCGTTATTTTTCTCCGTGGTCGCGTGTAACGGCGCTGACGCTGTCGCTAGTTTGAGACGTTCACAGGCATTTCGACAGGTCCCGGTTTCTCTCAGCAATCTCCCGAGTTTCTCCCATTAAGTGCGTTGGAATATGGATGGTGGTAGGAGCGCTGCGTGAGGCGGCGAGTTTGAACCGTTGGCTGTCGTTAGTGAGATAGCGCGCCCGGAGAACCACCTCCAAACAACCCTGTTATCAGAGCTTCGTCTTAGAGTATAGATAGCCATGCGCTGCAGCTCAGCTGGAGATGGGCGCGCGCAAATAGTCTCCATGTGGCACAGACATTGTTCCAGAGGGACTGAATCACGTTCACCCAAGAAGGTATTTTCTATAGCGATGCCGGTCGGCAGGCCGGTTGCCGAGCTCGCTAAATGTCGGCAGGCACACTGCAGAGTTCCTGCCATTGTGCGCATGGCGGCAAAACACCATCGCATTTGCCTCGTGTAAACACGGCGCTCACTTCAGACGTGGAGATACAGGGGAGCCGGCTTTCGTAAAAACGCCGCCGAGAGCCCGGCGAATGAGGCGTTTCCCGGCGGGACTCGTTTTGACCCGCGTCCGATGCCGCCGACCGGCGAGAGAGGTCACTTTCACGCGGAGCCGGCCGGCGCGCATGGCAAGGGGTGACGCGATCCCGGCGCGGGCTGAATGGCGCCATTGCGACACCGCGCTGGTTAGTGGAGCAGAATCCCGGGGGTCGACCTTACATCATGGCGCGCGGCTGTATCTGGCCATGACGTGGTCTGGAGAGGTGCCGGAGGGCAGCGCTGGCCGAGTGAGGCATTTAGCTGCCCTCAAAACGGCGGCAGCAAATACCTCGAGTCATGGGGAACGGCTTCACAATGAACTGTGGGAAAGCTCAAAGTTGTGAGGTTCTGTTGCCGAGCTGTGTGGATACAGAAGTGGTAGTTATAAGGTACCTATCATTCAGACGGGCTGACAATATCAAGTCACGCGAGTCAGCGTAAAACGTGCAATGCAAAAAGAAAGCTAGCACACAGGGGCGCAGCCAGGGGGGTGGGGGTCAGGGGTACCGTGCCCCCCTCCCCCCGCCCTCAGACCCGGACTTTTTCACCAGTGATCGCTCCCGACAGAAACTTAAAAATCGACGTACCGAGTCCTGCCTCTCCCCTGTTTAAGAAAATCATGGCTGCACTCATTTTGGTGCATGGTACGTCCAGACTCATACTCGTATCAGCGGTTTTTTTCAACTTTACATTACTGCATTTACTGAAAGTTGCACAAGCATAATCATAACTTTAGGCATTCCTAAAGACAAGGCGAAGTTGCGTGTTCGGTTATCTACACCCAAATGCCATAGAACAAGGTGAAGTTGCGCGTTCGGTTATTTACACCCAAATGCCTTAAGACAAGACGAAGTTGCGTGTTCGGTTATTTTCGCCCAAACGCCATAAGACAAGGTGAAGTTGCGTGTTCGGTTATCTACACCCAAATGCCATTGAGCTCAAAATTGTCCCTGATTCCGATGCCTTTTGTTCTGAATGTCATGCGCAATGACCAGTGATGAACTCATTGGCAGTTAGCAGTGAGCACTGAGCAGCAAATCGAAACAATCTCGAGCACATTCTGGATTTTTCAAAGACGGTACCAACACCTAATATACAGTCACAACCGGCTGTTACGACCTTCAGTTCGGGTGTCACGACCATGTGGCGGCAGTACTTGGGGAAGACTCCAGGCTTTCCTTGGCGTCCAAATGCCCGAAAAGAGCGTCAGTACCGCTGACAGCGGCCCAGGAGGAGTGTCAGGAGTCAGGACCATTGACGATCGGTTCTGCAGGAGTGTCAGGACAGCTGGTGGAGCCGGTCGGACCAGCCTCCGTCGGCGGCAGTGAAAGTGGCGCCGGTCTTGGTGAGGCCGGCCTTCGCGCCGCCGGCGGCCAGGGGTGGCTGGCGCAGCGCCGACTCGGCCGGCCGTGGCGACAGGCCGGGCGCAGCCCTGCCCGGCCGATCTGGGTCAGTTGGCCGCTCCCTGGGCCGCCGCCCCCGCCGCGACGGCTGCGCCGGCGCCGCAGAGCAGGCGCGCGGCGCTCACTTTCGCTGGCGGGCGAGCCAAGCGGCGACGCGGCCGTAGTGAGACGACGCGGCCGGCGGGGACGCCGTTCGTGACGCCGGGTGCCGCTCATGCGGGGAGGGATTACGGCGGCGTGTTTCATGTCGCGGACAGTATTGACGTGTGGCACGGATGACGACGGAAGCCGCCGCCAGCTCCCCATGGCGTCGCCGGGCCACGTGCACGAGCTACACTCACTTGGCGTTGGGGAGGTTGGAGCGGCCGTGTCCAGGCCTGATCGGCTCGACTTGGGCTCGCGTCACTCTCACTGTCACCGGCTCGCGCTCGGCGCTGTCGGGGAGCGCTCTCCGCAGACAGGCCGCCTCTCCCGGGCCTCGCGCCGCCGACCCCGGCCGCAGCCACCGGTCGCGCTCATTGGCTGCCCGGCCTGTGACGTCATGCCGGGAGCGAACGGGCCAGCCGGCCGGTCCTTGGGGCAGCCCGGAGACAGGGGACACGGAGCTGCCGGGCGTGGGG